CGGGGACGAAGCAGCCTACAGGAGGGAGGTGGCCGGTCTGGTGTCATGGTGCAAGGACAATAATCTCACCCACAACACGGACAAGATGTGGAAGGAGAGGAGATCCTATCAGCCACTGTTCATCTGGGACTCGAGGTGGAGAGGGTGAGCAGCTTTAAATACCTGGGTGTCCACATCACTGAGGACCTCACTTGGGCACTTAACAACACACAGCTGGTCAAGAAGGCCCAACAGCGGCTGTACTTCCTGAGGAGGCTGAGGAGGCTCGACATGTCGTTTTACAGCTGCATTGTCTAGAGCATCCTGCCCAGGTGTATCACCGTCAGGTATGGCAGCATTACTGCTATGGACTACAAGCACCTGCAGAGAGTGGTAAAGACTGCGGAGAAGATCACCAGGACTCCACTGCCCTCTCTGCAGAGCATCTACCACCACAGAGTCTGCAGGAGAGCTGCCTCCATCCTCAAGGACCCCACCCACTCCCCGCATGGACTATTCACTCCTCTACCTTCAGGCCAGAGGTGCAGAAGTGTGAAATGCAGGACTTCTAGACTTAAGAACTCTTTCTTTCCCCCGGCCATCAGACTCCTAAACAGCTGACAGGAATCTACTTTATAATCAGGGATTACTTCATGTAATTCCACCAATACATTACAAACACAGAAGGAGTCCACCATGAATGGGCTCCTCAAAATACAAATAGAAGAATTTCTGAACTCTCCAGAAATGCATGCTGGGAAGTATGCTAATTTTATTTCTTAACAAATTTGACTTAATGAGTTGAGTGAACTCTTAGCAGTTCATTCATTCAACTTATCTCTTTAGTGGTCTGAAAAAAAGACTTTCAGCTAGATTAACATGAAATGACAAACTTGTATCATGTTTTCCAGTGCACAGTCCACCAGATGTCTTGAGTGAAAATTTAATTTTGAGTTCTGAACTTCGGACAAATTACAAATATATGTCTCTAGTACTACCAATCCTTTAGGTGAAGTGTGGGGTAAGATGACAGCACCCAGTGTTTTGTTTTGGAGTTTTGGAGGTTGTGGTGCTCAGACCTGTTTGAATGGCAAGAACTTAACATACCAAGTTATCTCTACTTAACATGATCATTGCATAACCCATATTTAAACTCTTTTTGCAACAGGACTAAAATCAGTGATTTGGAGACAGACAAGAAGGAGATGGTTGGTGTCTTTGGTAGAACTGGGGCTGGAAAGAGCTCTCTAATAAATGTGATCATTGGCGAGAAAGATCTTTTGCCCTCAGGACGTGGCAGTGCATGTACCTCAGTCATGATTAAAGTGGAGACTAACATGGACAGCCAGAAGTATGAGGCAGAGATTGAGTTCATTACAAAAGAGGTAAAATGAGCTGATTGTGTTTATGTTGACTTGAAGCTGGTTGAAAAGTGACAATATATCCACAAAATTACAGTTGTTTGTTTACATGCCATTAAGTTAACCATTCTTTTGCTTTTTAGGAGTGGAAAGATGAGTTGTGGTCCTTGTACCATATTCTTGGGGATAATACAGATCAAGAAAAAGATGATGATGGTGATGATGATGATGATGATGATGATTGTAACACTGTTGAAAAGCTATCAGCGTTGTATGGAGAAGATATTGGAAGAGACTGGACAAACACATCTCTTGAAAACCTGATGGACGACAAATATTTCAGAGAAATTCCAGAATTTCTCAATTCCAAGCCGAAGACTTTGGAATGTAAATCAGTAAGTAAGATTTTAAAACATCTTACTTGCATCACTTCATAGAAAACAGTCTTGCCTGTTTGGTAGAGTGGATGATATGGATCTGAGGTTTTCAGCCTAGTCATCCTAGTTTGGTTTAGTTCAACAGTCATTTATCATGCATAAAACTAAAAGCAGTATATCAAATGTACTTTTTTAAAACAGTGGACTTGATGTAACTGTGTTCAGTAACTAGAGAGACATCAAATTATCACCTTTATTGGCCAAATATGTTACATACAAAGAATTTGTTTCTGGTACAAAACTGAGGCAGCCATCTGCGGCGCCAACTCAACCGATGGGTTCAGCGTCTTGCCCAACAACACTTCGACATGTGGACTGCAGGCACCGAGATTTGACCCTTCAACCTTCCGGTTGGGAGACAACTGCTCTACCCACCGCACTGTCACCTCCCTTTATAGGAAAATCACTGACAAATATATAAATCTAAATAACAGTTGTGACAAATTCCATTGAATCTAAACATGTCTTATTAAGGTCCTAAATGACAAAGGAATTTTGTTTGAGGCAATGTTCATGCCAAATAATGTACTACCACCTACAGTATCAGACTGGGATGTAGTTAGCTGTGTTTCTAATATGCTCTTTCCATTTCACTTCAAGAACACTTGGGTCATTACAGGAAGAAACACTGAGATACTATAACACACATGTATTAACGTCCAACACAGGCACTGTCAAAATACAATCATGTTTAATTCTGATCTTTAATCACAGTCACCCAAAATTGACCCTTTGCCTCCACTTTTTTATCAATTCACCCACTTTGGACATTTATAAAATTACAATCACCTTCCATTCCCTTAATTTTATTTTATTTTTTTATGCAGGCTGAAGAGCTATCTGCAAAATTTGTCAAATATACAAGAAGTGACCTAAATCAAGGAGAAGGTAAAGAAGTGAAGAGGTGGTATTGGCCACTAGTGAAGTGTGTGACTGTCAGGGTTCCTAGGAATGATAAATGTGGAAAGAGGTCATTTATTCACATGCACTGCTGTTTGTTGTGTGTTAAAATTGTATTGTTATCTGAAAACTAACACAATGTTATTAGAAATTACTGATAATTAATTATTCTTAAGAAACTTGATGTTATTCCTCTTCAGCTTGTTGGAAGTTGCTCTACTGTGTGGATTGTGACTGAAATGAATCGAGCAGCATCAGAAACAGATGCCTGGGAGATCCTGAAAAGTGCCTGTAGCCTCGTGGGAAATGGTGGCGAGTGTCAGCGCATTCATTTTATCTGCACTAAGTCTGATGACGTGGGTGTTCAGTAAGTGATTTAACATGCCACAAGTACATAGCATAACATCCAAATAAAACACTGGCAAATGTGCAGGCCAAGCGCTTGTAGTAGTTAGGATCTGATACAAACTAAATTAATTCAGGCAAATCATCCCAGTTTAAATAATCATTTAATATTACAGTAATTCTGAACAGGTCGATAAGTTATGAGACACTCCCGCAATCTGGCAGTTAGAGAACAGAATCTCACCCTCCTGCAATGGAATAGATACAGTATTAAATAAGAAGATTGTCTCAGTCAGTCAGTCTTGGTCAAGGGTCCAGTCAGTCCAGAGTTCATTCCCCCCAACCCAGGCCTGGGTCCAAAAGTGCACACACTTCACTACCGCAGCAGCATTCTTCTTCCCCTACATCCTTCAGCCTAACTCTTTTTATCCACAGCTTTCTTCGGCTGTTACGTCAATTTCCGAACTTAGCTTCAAAAACAGGAAACAGCTTGGCCAAATTACAGTACATAAGCTCATTGTCCAGCTCAACTTAAAAGTGAGGGAGAGAGACAGAGATGCTTTTATTATTATAGACTCACGGTCCAGATTAGAACAAACAGACAATAAAAGAACAATTAAAAGGAACAATATAAAATAAGATAAAAACAAGAGAACAACCATAAACTACTATCCTTTTAAAAGGCAGGCATACCAGTGTTTCCAGAGAGCAGAAGTAAAACGCATGTCACTGTATGCAACATTAGTCAACAATAAAATGATGATTTTCAGAACCATTCAAGCGACAGATAAATTTAAACATCAAATTTCTTAAAACAGAGGGAAATGTACTAATTCGAGATGACACCAACAGTTCGCTAGCACTCGTCCATCTAGGCTTTTTCAATAATAGCCTTAGGGCGTCATTGTAAGCCACTGACAGTTTCCAAAGACTGCCCTTTTTATAATTACACCACAGATAGGCAGTGTACAGGGAAGTATAATAAGCTTTAAACAAAGCCAATTTTACTCCAACCAAGCATGAACCAAATTTTCGTACCAGTACATTAGCTTGTACATAGAACATACGGCACTGCCGATATATATCCCCATCATCAGACGAACAATCATTGATGACATGACCCAAATACTTAACTTCGTTGCACACAGTTAAAATATTGCCAGATAACTTAAAAGAAGGGAATACAAGGACCTGTCCTCGTTTGTACGGCATATCATAATAACACTTGACATCGTGACGGTCCCCAAACACTGAGCACACGTTCAAGAGCTGCTGAAGACCT